TCTCTCCCCCCCCCTCCCTCACACTCATACACACTCACACATGCACACCTCTAATAGAAGTCGTCTGTGAGACAGAAACAGTACCCTTAAAACAATATATTCTTTAAAAAAAAAAAAAAGACGGCTTTGAGGAGAGTATTATTGAGCCAGGATAATAACACAACAGATGGAACTGAGGCTTGACTCCCAGGTGAAGATAACAGAGTGAACCAGATGAGGGGATGATATATTTAATCCTTTGAGTACTGGCTTTCTGAGCCTAGAGAGTCTGTGCACCTGAGCTCTTAATGGAAAACTTTTTGACCCCTTTGTGCTGAAGTGTATGCTCATGCCTGTGTAGTTGAGGAAATAATTTTAATGTGAAAAATATATTTTATGAGGGAGGCAGTAGAAGAATAGAAGGTATCAAAACCAGAATTGGGCGGCGTTTTCCCCTGAAACCTGAAACTGAAAAGCCCCATATTTTTTTATTTTTTTAAAAAGAACTATACAATGCAATATTTATCCAGAAATGGGGTTGTCGAATCCTACCTGAATTTACCCAATCTTAATGTATAGAATATGTGCTGGTCAGACTACTGTATTTTTTACCTCAGAACACAATCTGCGGGAAATCAAAATTCTAAAAGAAAATTTAAAAGGTAGGTTACTTGCAAAACCTCTAATTATTGCGTGCGCGTGCGTGTGTGTGTGTGTGTGTGTGTGTGCGTGTGCGTGTGTGTTGCTCTGTAAAATGGACTTTCCCAGGTGGTGATTGCACTCTTTGGAGCGAAGTTGTGAAAAGCTTAAATTTTATATTACACCTCTGATTGTGTCATTTTAATAAGCCAGTCCATTACAATTTGTGTCCTTTCCCCAGTTTAGCACTCATAATATGACCCGTTTGTTTTACAAGTGCTGTAAAACTTACAAAAGTGGATGGTTGGCGGGTGCTCTGGTTTAGCTTGCTCCTTCTTTCCTATACTATCAGACATCTATCGTCCTTATCTCTCCTTCTTCTTTTTGTGTATATGTTACTCTCTTGTAACAAGTCTATTCTTCGGCACTTCTATGACTTTATTGTGTTGCAAGTGCCGTAAAACTTTTACTAAAACTACAAAAAACTGTAACAAAAACCTCCCTTCCCCAGGTCCGGGTCCTGACGTCCCCCCTGTGTACTCGGTGGACTCCACAGACCTCAGCCGGTGGGACCAGGCGGTGCAGGAGGCTGTGGCCGTGGTCAGGGCTTTCTGTCAGGTGAGAGGCTCTCGACAGTGGAGAGCTATATGTGTATACGCGGCCAGTATTGTTGCATAGAGACGTATCTCAAAGGTCACAAAAAAAAAAGAAGACTTACGTCTGTATGCAATACTGCCCGAGTATAGTGGTATTGTAATATATATGGTCTTATGTTCCCTTTAGACAAACCAAACAAAACAAACAAAGTTCCCCCCAACTGAGGGATTGGTTGGAGAGTGCCACTGGTAGGACATACTTCTTTTCTTTCCGACTTTTGATTCTGTCTGTCTTGGTAAGAGTAAGATTTCCCACCACTAAATGACCGTTATTGTGTTGATTTGCTTCTGTTCACTCAAATAATGCCTCTAACCAAAAGCACACCCTGTCACACATTCAATTTCTTAGCCACCTCAGTTCACTGGTTCAGCTATTTAGCAGTTGTGTGAGTGCTGTTATTCACGTTGCTGCACTCTACGTTTCACTATGGGTTCTGTAACTTGGTTTTTAAAAAGATTTCCTTTCCAATTTTCTGTCTTGTTCTATGGGAAACGTAAAGCCTGGCAACCTGTGAGGCATTCTGATGCTGTCGTCCACTTTAGACGCTAACTGATAAAAGTGTATATTTCTTGTTTGCAGCTGGATGAAATGAGGATATTAAGTTACTAAAATAAAGTAGTTTCCCCTGAAGACATTGTCATACCAAGTTGAGCTGTGGATTAAGCCCTTGTTCGGAACTTTCTGACATACTTGATTAGAACTAAAGACGGTCTTTTTCACAAGGAGTGAATGACCCCTGTACTTTCCAACAGGGATTATATCAAGTGAATCATAATTATATGAATTTTTTTCCCCCCACTGTGTTGTATTTCAGGGAGAGGTGCCAGACAAGGAACCAGAGCCCACAAAGCAGAAGTCAGATGTCAAGTTTGAGCGCAATGTGTGTGATGTGTGTGGGGGGAAAGTCTTTCTCTACCTTCATGAGTGGAAGAGTGAGTGCACTGTACTTAAAGCTATTGTTGTAGAATTTTGGTTAATAATTTCATTCCTTTGGAGGCCTTATCTAGTCCCTCCCTTGAACCTAATGTCAGGGATATTTGTCTCTTCTTTTAACATAATCCGGGAAGAAAAAAAAAAATTAAGTAAGACACACACACACACCCCCCCGTGCAAAAAAAAAAATGAAGAATAGATAAATTTGCAAACTAAGAGACAGAGGAAAAATGGCATCTGTTTGCTAAAGTTTTAAAACTTTGCCCCAATGGGGCGCTGGTCAGCGGCAGTAAGATGCCATCCCTTTCCCCCACAGGGCGCCGATCAGCAACAGTGTGATATAGCAACAAAAATGTTGAAGCAATGACCTCCTTTTTGACATGCGCACTTGTTAAAGTTATCTTTCCTTTCTGAATGGGTTGTGTGGCCTTTGAGTTGAGGGCAAAGATCAGTTTGTGTACAACAACTGGAGTAAAAGTTTTGGAAAAAATGACAAGCAGACCTAGCATGAGTGCTGCTTTTCTTTTTCGCAGTGCTGCTTTTCTTTTTCGCAGTGCTGCTTTTCTTTTTCGCAGTGCTGCTTTTCTTTTTCGCTATGATGCGAATTCGGGTGATGGATGAGCTAGGTCTAATGTGTTCAGTTCTGATTCTTATTCCCTTTTTTGGTGATCATGCGATTATCTCTTTCAATTTTCTCAGAAAATTTCATAATATGGTATTTTTGCCGAGATACAGGTGTAGTACTGAAGTAGCCCATCTGCATCCTGGTCCGTGAGGACAAGTGTTGTGCGCTCAGCGTGCTGCGTGGGTGGAAAGTATTAATTGCTGTTTTCTTCATAGGCCTGGCCCTTGTTTTTTTCTATTGGTACAAATGTTTTGACTTTCTTTTCGAAAGTAATTACGTTTTTACTTTATTTTTGAAAACAATAATTGCCTGTTAGCTTGACTGATAGTTGGCTGAATGTTAAAAAAAAGTGTTGCACATTTTGTCTGCCCCTTAGGTCATTTAGCAAGCAAGAAACATAAGCACAACGTCAAGATGTCGTCGGAGAGGGGAAAGTTGGCACGCCTGCTGCAAGCCAGACAACAGCAACTCACAGAGACAGAGGTGTGCGGGACAGTGACAGAGGGTGGAGAGCAGAAAATGCTGGCGAAGACTGAGGAGGGTGATGTTGACAAGTTGTGACAGAATGTACTCTTTGCATTGTAGAATGAAAGTGCATTCTCTGAGTGGCATCTCTGGTGTCCAAACCTCTCTGTGTGGCCACTTGAAAACGGGTTCAGAGCATCCATCAAGTGGCGAAGATGTGAAGAGCCAGAGTTGAACTGACCTGCGCCGAGGTTAGAGAGCCAGGATGATTTGGTGGGCTCTGACAAGTGGTGTCTTGTGACAGAAGCCCCAAATGACAGAATTGCAGTGATTCATCGGCAGTCCCCATCAGAGATCATGGTAGAGTACCTGATGACAACACACATGGGAAAAAAAACCGTTCTGAATAAAAAAAAAAAGAAAGAAAGTCTTGACATGCATACAAAATATTACATCAATCCGGTAATCCGGTCATCTCTGCTATGAATGTTGTTTGGGGGGGTCTGAATAATGGAAATTTTCTTTCTTTTTTTTTTTTTTTGTTGCCATATAGTGTCCTTGGGATAGGCATTTTACCCAAATTGCCCATTTAGATTGGTCCTTTCGGAGATGGATGTAAAACTCTGAGGTCCTGCCTCTTAAATAACCTATTAGTGTTAAACCAATACCGTTTTGCCACTTTTTTTCTTGCCTAGAACAATGTTTTCCACAGTGCTGTACGGGCACATCACACTATAATTCTTGATAAACACAGGAATGAATAACTACAGAATACATTTTGCCATCTTTAGCAGGGTAAACAGCATTGTAAATACCATTGTCACTGAGAAGGCTCTGAAGATGCTGACAGTTTTCATTTCACTCTTTCGAAATTTGCAGTTTTTTCATACTTAGTGCCTGCTCTTTCAGGCTTGCCCATAACTGTTTAAGTTGTTTAACCTTGTACTTATGCCGCTTTTCTTTTTGATGAAGGACATTTATTTGACAAGTTGTTTTATCCACCATTATTCTAAAAAGCAATTAACATCAACTATTAACCTATGTGAAAATATTTGGATCCAACTCTACATAGTGTTATCAGGTCCATTCATAACCATGGGAACGGCGGCCATCTTGGGTTGTAAACAAAAAATATATACCAATTTTGGTACACTACTATTAATATAGTTTTTACTTTTTTCCTGTTATTTCACTTATGTGTTTAGGAGACATAGCTCTGATAAGAAACAAGCTTAGAATGGTTTATATATTCCTTTTAGTTGTTTTTTAAGCCATCAAAATTCATCTTACAATTTTGGTAAGAAAATACCCTAGTGACTTTGTTGAAAAAAATTATTAAAAAAATAAAATAAAGAGACATATCGAAATTCTGACCATGTCACTATCTGTGGAAATGGATAAGCTATTAAAATGCCAAATTTGATGCCCATATCTTTACAAATAATAAAATGGTAGTGTTCCAACTATTGAAAAGGATCTGAAAAAAGGTAGTTTTGAGAAAAATGGCGTTAAAGTTTTAGGTTGTTAGTAAACATTCCACATGCTGTGTTAGGTGGTTAGTAGTCCAATATTTGCCTCTAACTAGTGTTCTGGGCCTACCGTAACTGTTTATAGCCCCTGAAGAGAAGGCGACACCCTTCCTTTCCTCTCTCTTGTCCTTTTCATTGAGGTGCTTCTGTTGAAGGTGCTTTCGTTTCCACTTTGAAATGTTTTTTCCTTTCCTTTTGGAGTGACGAATTCTTGTCTCTGCTACTCCAATCGCTTGCGAATGTGTCACAGCTCCCCAGGTCAGGCAGAGTCTTTCGATGACCTTGTACAGTCCTGTAGGTGATGTAGGTCCCATGTTGAAAGAAATTACTCTCAACGTAACAGCTGTTTCAATGGTTGGGAGGTGGGCGAAAAGTACCTTGGGACAACGTCTCCAAATTGTTGAATTGAAACATTCATTTGGGTTCTGCGTAGACATTCTGACACACCTAGAAAGGAGTTCTAGGTCAGTCAGCCTCTTTGATAATGGGGAATACGTATGTCCCTATATCAGGTGATAAGTTTGGGTTGTGGGGAGGGGGCTGTTCACCCTTGGCGAGGGCACGGTTGTGCTTGCACCACGATGTTTCACTCTCAGGGCACAAACGATGGTTTGGGGCGCTGTCCGTGGACATCGTGTGAAACAGGCCACCCATAACACCCAACTTTATTTTCTGAATATCTGGGGCATTCTGTCTCAGATTTGTGGCATAAGTTTTGTGATTTTTAAAATTTTGGCTGTGGTGAATTTTCTGTTGAGCTTTTGCTTGTTTTTTTGGTTTTTTACCTGCTCCAACTGGTTGTATATGCGTTTTGCAATATGGTTTACGCAGTCTTCCTTCTGCACTGGAATGTCGTAGACACCAAGGTCGTTGACACGTGTCAATGCCTTGCTGTCGCCATCGCACAACATTGTGCCATATATAAGCCCACGGCACTCAATTGATCGACTAAAGATCACCTCAGCTGCTCTAGTTTCCATTGCGTTGGAGAAGCCATTGAAGTTTTTGTTGCACTAAGGTTTGTGCCGTTCGAACCAGGGCAAGTACTGGGGGGAGTTGGGATCTGGCGCACGAGTACACCCTGTGCCGAAATTAGAAACTGTATATGTGTCCAGTACATATCCACTGTCCACATCAATTGTCACACCGACTCCATAGTGTGACGAGTGACCTCTCTTGTGCCACATGCCATCATAGGAAACGTTGACAACTTGAACGCCAGATGGACATGATCGTTCAGTTGCGTATATGTTGGCATGATGACGTTCTTTAACGACTCGGGCAGAAGCCGACATAACTTCCTCTGCAGCACCGATGGCAGCCTCCCCAACTTCTAGGCCGATTTCATGGAACGTCTTGTGGTGCATGACGTGAGGCACGTTCATGATGCTGAACATCGTCTTCATGGTGCTCAGCGGCACACCGCACCCCTTAGAGGCTACGACCGCATGTATGTTGATGTCATGTCGACGTGTTGGTTTTGGCAAAGGGCACTTGGACCAGACTAGTTTCTGGCATGTACGGCATTCCACGGTAAAATGACAAGCCATCGTGACGAGTTCTCCACGCTCACTAGAAGTTATTTGCCCCAACTGTTTCACCCCTTTGCTTGTGATGACCTTTGGAACTTTGTGCACCGTGGTGATCCCAGTTTCATGTAGGTTTAATATCTGACCACCTGTCACGCTTAATTCACTGTACCCTTCCTGGAGCAAGTTAAAAAATGCAATGATGTTATGCCTATTGAAGGCTGTTGCTCTGGCAAGGGAGGTCGCCTCTGGTTGGCGAATGCTCAATCCTGGGTGACGTCTCATGAATGCTATCTGAGTGACAGGCTGACTGTGTGTGTATGCTTCGGCCACCGGTTTAGTACCTGATGGGCTAGCATTCTCAGCAGTTTTATTAGTATTAGTCTCTCCTTTTAAAAAAATTAACTCGGTTTGCAACAAACAAAGAAGGTTGTCCCTCTTGAGAAATAGATTGTGCAATAGTTGTAAATATTGATTGTAGTGTCAATATGATGCAAGTAGGCCCTCACATTGTCAAATGAAATACCCTGGGAATCTGCAGTATTAAGAAAGCAACTGTTGCACAACGACAGTATACGGGGGCGTTATCTTTCTTCTGCCCCAGTCTGCTGCTTGTCCAGGGCATGCAACTGTCAATACTTATCTAGGACTCTGGTCGCCAGTATATTCATGGGGGAAAGCAACTGTCAATAAATTGCATTCTATGCTTTATCAATTAATCAATTCTTATTTCAATATTCCCATTATAGAACAAAGAAGCAGTGTTGCTGAAATAAACTTTTAAAAAAAGAAAGAGACATTAGCTATTCATGTTCTTGAGTGGCTTTTGTAATTTCCTTTTTCCTTTTCTGAAATTTTCCTTGAGGGGTTTGTATCCTCACACTCTCGAGGACAGTTCTTTTTTCCCTGCTTCAGTAGAGAATCTAGCCAAACACTGGTCTGCCACATCATGATAGACTCTATAGGGGAGATGTTGGCAAAAGGCTTTGTCTTTATTGTATCTAATATAGACATATCCCTCTCTGATATTAAGTTTGAGACAGGCACATTCCGAGTTGCAACTCTCAGGGATTCACTTACTGTATTAAGTTTGCCACCTGGATACTGACCGCTGGCTTGACATTCTAGCAAATTCAACATTTCAATAGATAGATGTGTCAAGCTGTCCAGCAGTGCATCATTTGTTGGCTGACAGAAACAGAAATGTAGTGACAGGGGAATTAAACAAATCATGTCCAAAGACAGGGGACTTGCGACTTCTCTATTCTCTGCCCACAGCCATAACATTTGCAGAGCCTTTTCAAGATATATTTTGATATCCAAAAGGATGGATGTAGTATTTCAAATTGAGATGAAGATGCCCTGCAAAGGCTCAGTCAATACTTTGCCTATAATCCCCAGAGCCCTATCAATTGCTAAATAAAGTTTAACTTAAATGTCAATTTCTCTTTTCCTTCAGCCTTTCCTGATGCTGCTGTCTTTATGCTTCAGCTCTTGCTTGTCACAAACAGCGTCGGTAGCCTAGTGGTTAGGCTACCGGACTCCTAATCGTGAGATTGGGGGTTTGGGGGTTCAAGCCTGATCTCGGTCTGATGTTGTGTCCTTGGGAAAGACGCTTTACACGAATTTCCCATTTGGCTCGGTCCTTTCAGAGACGGACGTTAAACTAGGAGGCCCCGCCTCTTAAATAACATAATAGTGTTGTTAAACCCATACCATTTCACCATTTTTGCAAGCAGGGAGTTTTGAAGTTACTGTTTGCTTGATTTTTTGGTGATATGTCTCTGCATGGTTTGTTGTTGTTATGTGAAATTCAGGGGATTCTGAGAAGCAGGCTGCCCAGTACTTTGCGCACGACCACCAATGGCTTTCAAAGTAAGTCAAAATCTGAGGTGGACACAGGTCTGTCAGCTTTGACTTAATCCTTTCATATTCTTCCTCTTCTTGACAATCCCTTTGTGACTAGAAACAGCGTTCCACATCCAGGTGACCATAACGCTCAGTTAAATAGAAAAAAGGAATGCGTGACTTGTACTGAGCAGCACAGCCGTCACTGAAAATCACACGTTTTTTTGAAGTTGCAAACAAACAGTGGACAGGTGCTGCTCAACTTCTCACTTCTCTTGTACAACGTTCACAAAATGTGAACTGTGTTTAAGACAATCGCTTGGTAAGATCATGTTGTCTGTCACTCTCTCCCCACACGAACATAATACATTACAACTGGGTGAAGGGTGACCTGGTTGTAGTTGTAATAGGCAGATTGTGCCTGGTCCTGCTGGACACAGAGAAAATTCTCTGCGAAATCCATGGTGATCAGTGCCCAATTGGGGGCAAACCTGTGGACAATTTTTGGTACATCTGCTGCTGCCACCGATATCATCTGTAAAAACATGAAGGGGCAAAGACTTAAGTTCTCCCCGCAACTTACCAATGAGGTCCTGTAAGGAGCCCTCATTGACAAATAAGCGCATCTGAGATGCCTTCCCAACATTGGCAGTCTCCCATTCCTTCCTCTTCACTTGTGTCTGAGGACACAAGAACTCATGAAAGAGTCCACCAACGTTGTTTTGGCAAAGTGGACACTTTCTCTCAATACATTTGGGGTTGTGAAACGGGTCCCCATCCCGTTTACTACAAAGAGTGGCACTGATAAGATCAGTAAGACCACTAATTTGACATTCTTTCTTTGCCGATCTAATGGCTTCTAACTTGAGTCAAGGATTTTCACAGATGTTGCAAAGACACTGTCGAAATGGTGTCTTTTTAAAAGACAAAATGTTCCTCGGCGGTCCGACGTTGTGTCCTTGGGAAAGGCACTTCACACGAACTTCCCACTTGGCTCGGTCCTATTGGAGATGGACGTTAAACTAGGAGGTCCCGCCCCTTAAATAACCTAATAGTGTTGATAGGGGCGTTAAACCCATACCATTTCACCATTTTTCGGCTTGAGCATAAAAAAGGAGGAGAGTGATAGGGCACTTGAGGGGTTAGTCTGACTGTACACTTTGTACAACTCTTTAATCGGTTTGTGAAGGACCTTCTTCCCCACATTCCTTTTATCCAGCAAGTGGGAAGAATTGTCCTGGTAAAACGCTTTAACCACCTGATGTGCCTCCTTCTCTTTGTGGCTGTACAGTTGTTTTGAGCCTACTGTGCCTTTGAGGCAGCAGCTGACATCACACTTTTTGCTTTAAAAGTTTCTACATCTCTTTAAGATTTCAAACTCTGGAGCACAACACTGTAGGTATCACCTTTGTGTTGTACTCCCCTTTTCTTTTTAGGTGAATTGTACTGCTCGCCGTGTGC